CATGGCGGGGCGGGGGCGGGATCCGGGCTGCGGCCGCGGCCTCTCTGTCTGCGCGGCGCCCGCTCGGCGCTCGGGGCCAGGCCGCGCTCCGGTGCTCGGCCGCCCGCTCGCGCGCTCGCGCCGCAGTGCGGGCCCCGAGGCGCGCTCCTCCGCCTCCTCCTCCTCCTTCGGGCGCGGCGCGGGGCGGGCTCAGGCTCCGCCCCCTGCGCCGCAGAGTCGGCCGCGGCGAGAGGCGGGGCGTTGGGAGGCTCCGCCCGTCACACTGCAGAGTTGGCCGCGGCGCGGGGTAGGCGGGGAATTTTGAAGCCCCGCCCCCTTCGGGCTAAGGGCGGCGGGCGGGGCGTTCGAGGGCTCCGCCCTCCTCTTCGCGGCGCCGGCTCGGCCGCGCGCTCCTCCGCCAGCCCCGGCCCGAGACGGTGTCCGCTCGCCGGCCCCGCCTCCGCCGCCGTCGTCCCGCCGCGCGCGTCCCCAAGCGGGAGCGGCCTCCTACTGCGCCCGCCCGCCTCAGTTCCCCAGCCGCGGTCTCCCACGCCCGCGCGCAGCCAGGGGGAGGCTTGTCCTGGGGGCTTCTGGAGACGGGAGGGAGGAAACCCACGTCCTGCCCTCCCCGTCCACTCACTTACTGCCTTATTCCCGCGGGTCCTCACGGCTCTGGAAGTGGGTGCTGTCATTATTCCCTTTATGAAATGGGGCACAGAGAGGTTAAGAAATGTGCCGGGTCGCCCAGCAGGTAAGCGGTAGAGCTGGGACTGTACTCCACACTCAAGCTTTAACGGCAGTTAAGTGACTAACGTAGGATTCCAGGCCTCGGGATGAGGGAAGATGCACCCAGGAGACAGTGGTGCGAAATGAGCAGAGTAGACGCATCGAGTCCGAATGCTGGAAGGCGGCTGCGGGGTAACACGCAATGGTTGAGAAAGGATTTCCGAAATAGAAAAGACGTGTGTGTAAAGAAACTAATTAATGATCTGGAAATGAAATTCTAAACTACTTCCAAAACTACGTGGTGAGAGAGGGAAAATAAAATGTATTTCGTCCAGGGAGGGAGACACTGGAGAAATGTTTCCTGATAAAATATAGACTCGAAGGTTTTTCTTAACAGTTAATGATACCATTAGCTAAAATAAATGTGGAAGCTAGAAGGGGAGAAAAGAAGTAAGAACACCTGATCAGTTCAGATAATGAACAGAAGAAACAGTGTTATTTGTGCAGAGAATAAAGTTAAAAAAAAATGGATCAGTGTGTTCATCAAAATAAGAAGATAGGAACACAACCGAGCACACGGGTGATGACAGTGATGTAAACGAGTTGAAGTCTCATGTTAAAGCACCAGGATTTTCACTGAGAAAAAATGTTAAATCCAGGTAAACCCTGTTTACAGGGGCACAGCTAAAACAAGCCAAAAAGGCTGAGAATAAGGAAAATGCAAACACAAAGAAGGTAAGGGTGGCAATATTAATGCCAGAAAAATATTGCCTAAGGCAAAAGGTGTTAAGTGGGAAAAGAGTCTGTTTTTCTTACACGAATAACAGGTACAATCTGTGTAGAATGGATTATGAACCATTGTGTTCTCAAAAATAAAACATCAACCCACAAAGCTAAACTGGGTGAAACACACAAACGCTTTGAAAAACAAAATCATCGTAGGAGACTTAATTACCTTCCTCTGAATTTTACAGATCAAATAGATGATTTTTTTTTTTAAGTCAGTAAAGATGGAGTTTGGGGGCCGGGCGCGGTGGCTCACGCCTGTAATCCTAGCACTCTGGGAGGCCGAGGCGGGTGGATCGCTCAAGGTCAGGAGTTCGAGACCAGCCTGA